GCGACGACGCCGTCATCGTCGGCGCGATCAGCATCGGCGCCCGCACTGGCCGCGCGTTCGTCGTTGTCAACATCGCCACCAGCAGCGCCGCCACCATCGTCGCGTCTACCGTTGTCGACGCTGCCATGATACAGCGCCCGCCCAAATCAAGCCGGCCGCCGCGCGCGCACGCGCGGGCTGTCGCGGCCGCGGAGACGCGCCAGCCAGCGCCAAGCACGCACCGCAAGCGCCGCCGCATAGATTCTCAGTTCGCCTTCCCGCATTGCAATGCGCATGCGATTCTGCCCCATGGCCCATCCTAAATATGAATTCGCACATTCCCAGCCGATCGGGCATCCCCCCGCGCCATCCTCTGCAAAAACTGACGCGCGCACACTCGCTTATCAAAGATCACCCGTTTTCAAGAATCCCTTGGCGAAAACTAAAATAAAACGAAGTGTCGTGAGCTTTCAAAATCAAATGTCTAAAGTAAGCATATACAAGCACCAGGTTTCGCAACACGGAGTTTCACAAAAAGCTGGCGCGCGCCCTTGCGAATCCTCAAAAAGAAACGCCGGTGTGTCAACCGTTTCATAACATGCTGCCAAACGGGCTTCGCGCGCGCATGTCGAAATCGCTCGAACGCCCCCGCGCACCAAAAGGACGAAGCGCACGCGCGCGCGTCGTCGCGCGCGCGCCGAAATCCTTCAAAAACCCTCGGCGTCGTAAGCTGTCAAAACCGGGTGCCGAAAGTAAACATATAGAAACACCAGGTTTCGCAACGCGGAGCTTTACAAAAAGCTGGCGCGCGCTCTTGCGAATCCTCAAAGAAACCGCTGGTGTTTCAACCGTTTCATAACATGCTGCCAAAAGGGCTTCGCGCGCGCATGTCGAAATCGCTTGAACGCCCCCGTGCACAAAAAGGACGAAGTGCACGCGCGCGCGTCGTCGCGCGCGCATGCCGAATTCCGTCAAAAACCTTTAGTTCCGCAATAAGTGCAAGCCCGAGTGCTAAACAATAAGAGAACCTGGTTTCGCAACATCAGCTTTCCAAAGAAGGGCGCGCTCGCGCACTTGCGGATTGTTCAGGAACCAGATGTTTTCTAACAGGTTCATGGGATTCTGCCAAACGGGCCTCTGGCGCTGCACGCCGAAATCACTCGCGCGCCCTTGCGCGCGCGCTGGGGGGGGGGGGGGGGGGGGGGGCGATCCGTGTCAAATAAACCACGCAGGCCACTCTCGCGCGTCGGCCGCGCGCGCATGTCGAACTCGCCCCAGAACCTTCATCACCGACGCGACGACGCCGCCATCGTCGTCGGCGCGATCACCATCGGCGTCCGCAGTGGTCGCGTCGTCGTCGTTGCCAACATCGCCACCAGCATCGCTACTATCATCGTCGCGTCTACCGTTGTCGACGTTGCCATGATACCGCGCCCGCCCAAATCGCCGACTCGCACTGAAGTGCCCACGCGTCCGCGCGACATGCGTCGCGAGAATCCTGTCCAAGAAATAAAACGACATACAAGCGCGCGTCGTCGCGCGCGAGTGCCAAAATCCGCCCAGAATCTTCGGCGTCGCCGAGAATAGATTTTTCATTGGCAAAAAACATATAAGATCACCTGGCCTCACAACATCAGTTGTTGTTATTGGTTTGACATATAGTTATATATACACATATCGCGCGGTTGTCTGCTGGTTATTTGCTGACAAACAAGCAAAGAAACAAACAAACAAACAAACAAAAAAAGAACGCGCTCGCGCCGCGAATTCCTGAGAAAATCACATGCGTCGTTCAACAATTTCATGGAATTCCGCCAAACGGGCCCCCCGCACCGCACACCGACATCATGCGCGCCTGCGCTCGCGTGGTGCTGGGGGGGGCACGATCCGCGCCAAATAACACCGCGCGGGCCACTGTCGCGCGTCGGCCGCGCGCGCGTCGAACTCGCCCCAGAACCTTTATCACCGACACGACGACGCCAGCATCGTCGGCGCGATCAGCATCGGCGGCCGCACTGGCCGCGCGTTCGTCATTGTCAACATCGCCACCAGCAACGCCACTCTCATCATCGCGTCTACCGTTGTCGACGTTGCCATGATACCGCGCCCGCCCAAATCGCCGACTCGCATTGAAGTGCCCGCTGGGATGCGCCCAGCGGTCGGGGCCACCGCGGCTGCGTCGGTCGCGCCAAACAAGCTGGCCGCTGCGCGCGCGTGCTTGGGTTGGCGCGGCCGCCGAAATGCACCAGCCAACGCCAAGCACTCATCGCAGTCGCCGCCGCGTGGGTTTTGCAAACCATGTTGCGGGTGGGAGGGTGGGATGTTTGCAAGAGCGTGAAATATGTCAACTTGTCTGTGAAAATCAAGTGTACCACTTGGACTGCACCACACAGATAGCACCACACAGATTGCACCACATTTGTTGCACCGCAGATGTTGCACCACCTGTCGGGTATGTAAACCATGATTCTGACCACATGTCCATCCTAAAAATCAATTTACACTATCCCAGGGGGGCCGGCACCGCTCCCCCTGAGGTTCCCTTGTAAAAAACAAAACGCGGGGACATTGTTTGTTCTAACAAAAGACTTTTTCGCGAATCCCTTGCAAAAAATGACGAAGTGCACACGCGCGCGTCGTCGCGCGCGCATGCCGAAATCCTTCAAAAACCTTCGGTGCCGGAAGGATTTCGCAATCGAGTTTCCAAAAAAACATACAAAAAACACAGTTTCGCAACACTGATTTGCTAAAAAAAACTTACGCGCGAGCTCTTGCGAAATCTTGAGAAAACCATCGGTTTTCCAAGATTCTCACAAAATTCTACCAAACGGGCTTCGCGCGCGCGCATGTCGAAATCTGTCGGACGCCCTTGCGCGTGTGCCGTCGCGAGAATCCTCTGCAAAAAATTGGACGAGGTGCAGACGCGGGCGTCGTCGCGCGCGTATGCCGAAGTCCTTCAAAACCCATCGGCTTCGGACGGATTTCAACACCGTGTGTCCAAAAAACCTACAAAAACACAAGGTTTCGCAACACGAATTTTCAACAAAAGCGTGCGCGCGCGCTCTTGCGTCGTCGTCGTCGTCGCCGTCCTCCCTCCTCCCGCGTCGTCGTCGTCGTCGCCTACGTCGTCCTCTGTCTTTCCTCGTGTTCGTCGTCGTCGTCCTCTTTGGCGTCGTGGTCGTTTCCGTTGTCGTTGTCGCCGTGGTCGTCCTTCCTCCTCCTCCCTCGTCGTCGTTGTCGTCCGTCGTCGGCGTCTCGTCGTCGTCCCTCCTATTTCATCGCCGACGTCGTCGTCGTCGTTGTCGTCGTCTTCCCTCCTCCCTCGTCGTTGTCGTCGTCGGCGTCGCCGTCCTTCCTCCTTCTTCGTCGTTCGCGTCGTCGCCGTCCTCCCTCCTCCCTCGTCGTTGTCGTCGTCGTCGTTGTCGCCGTCGTCGTCCTCCCTCCTCCCTCGTCGTCGTCTTCGTTGGCAACGGCGTCGTCGTCTTCGTCGTCGTCGTCGGCGTCGTCGTCTTCGTCGTCGTCGACGTCGGCGTCGTCGTCGTCGCCGCCGTCGTCGTCGTCGTCGTCGTCGTCGTCGTCGGCGTCGTTGACGTCGTCGTCATCGTCGTCGGTGTCGTCGTTGTCGTCATCGTCGACGTCGTCATCGTCGTCGTCGTTGTCATCGTCGTCGTCGTCGGCGTCGGCATCGTCGTCGTCGGTGTCGTCGTCGTCGTCGTTGTCGGCGTCATCGAAGTCGTTGGAGACGTCGTCGGTGTCGTCGTAGTCGTTGTCGGCGTCGTCGTCGTTGTCGATGTCGTCGTCGGCGTCGCTGTCGCTGCCAAGTGCCATTTGGTACCCACCGTCACGGTATTAAGAGATTTTGAAAACCAAGTTGCGGGTGGGTGGGTGGGATGTTTGCGCGAGTAGTGGAGTGGACAACTCACTGCGAACAGAAATTAGTTTCATCACATAGAATGAACCACATAGATTGCAGCACACAAAGTGTACCACGTATATTGCAACACATAGATTGCACAACAGAAACTGCACGACATAGATTACACAACATGGATTGCACAACATTGATCGCACTACATAGATAGTACCACATAAGTTGGCCCACATACATTGCACCACATAGATTGCACTACATAAATTTCTGGGAACACACTGTTTGGGGCCCAGGCTCGCTAACATTGACTTACCTTCATCGACCCTCGGCAGCGGAAGCGGCAATCTTCGGGAGGCGACAGAGTATCAATGGCACGCTGCCGTTGGTAGCCCATCAACGTGACTCCTTCGTCTTTGTCCGAATGCCCGGCGCTTCTTCAACATAGACAAGCTGATGGGTTCCGCACGGCGACTGTTGCTGTTCCCCGAGAGTTGATGTTGATGTTGTTTGTTCTTCGTCTATCGTCGGCGGCGGAGGCGGCGATCTGGGAGCGCCCCACCACCGCCACTGACAGCGCACCAGCACCACCAGCAAGTGGAGGGCCGTGGGTCCACCCCAAAATCATGCCTACCCCAACCTCAATGTCCTTCCTCCGATCGTCGGCGGCGGCGGCGCTCTTCCGACCCGTTGAGGAACGCTCCACCGCCGCCACCGGCAGCGCAGCAGCGCCACCAGCGCGCGACCCAAGTGTTGATTTCTTTTCTTCGACAGTCGGCGGCGGCGGCGGCGATCTTCCGACCTAATCTAAGCGCTCAACCGCCGCCACCGGCAGCACACCAGGACCACCAGCGAGCGGAGGGCCGCGCCGCCGCCCGGTGCCGCCTCGTTGCCGCCCACATGGGGAGGCCTGTCAAGAAGCCGCCGCGCCGCCGGCCGTTGCGGCCTCGTTGCCGCCCACCGCGCTTGGGGGTGCCGTCGAGGTTGCACAACACAGCTTTTACACCACACCGCTTGCACCACGCAGACTGCATCTCATGGCTCACGCATCCAGACGTACAGTGACTTGCCGTCTGGCGCCCCATCTGGCCAACATTTCTCTTCGATCGCCGGCGGCGGCGGCGATCATTCCGACCCGCTGGGAGCGCTCCACCACGGCCACCGGCAGCGCGGCGGGGCCGCCGCCGCCGCCCAGCTCCGCCCCCGCGCCCGCGCGCGGTGGGCGGCCCGCCGCGACGGCCGCCGCCAGCAGCGGCCGCCGACCGCGGCGGCGCCCCATCCGCCGGAGGGCGCGGCCGACAGCGCCGTCCGTAGGTCGGCGCCGCCCGGCGGCGTCGGCGTCGCAGCCCTACCGTGGGTGGGAGGATTGCGCGAGCAGTGGAGTCGACAACCTCAAGTTCGGCAGGGTGAACTGCACCACACAGATTGCACCACATGGACTGCACCACGGGGTCGCCGGATATCATGAGGATGCGCGACAGGGCTGCGAGGGTCTTGCAAGGGCCGATTCGAAGCTCTTCGAGCGGGGCGCGGCCAGCGAAAGCGGCCAAGGATGGGTCGAGGAGACAAGGATGCAGGGGTGCCCTTGGGAAGGTTGCCCATCCTTACCATGCGGGTTGACTGCATGCTAGAACACACTGTTTGAGGCCCTCTGGGGGCCCTCCCCTGGCCCCAGGACCTTCAGAAAATAACTCGGGATGAAAAACCGGTCCAGGGAAACAGGTCCAGCCTGCCTTGGGGCCACGTTATGAAAATGTCAAGACGTCGGAGGTCTGGGGAGGAGGGAGGATCGGCGGCAAGCGAAGGGGGGAAGTGAGAAGGAGAAGGCCTTCTCGGAAGGCGGCGGGACTTCTCGGAAGCCCTCGCGCCTTCTGAGAAGTGTTATGTCTTCGGGGAAGGTTTAGAAAACTTCTCAGAAGGCCAGGGGCCTTCCGAGCCTTCTGAGAAGGCCCGCCCCTTCTCACTTGCCCCCCAGGCTCGCCGCCGAGTCATGAGAAGATCAAGACATCGGGGGTATGTGGAGGAGGGAAGAGGGAGGGGTGAGGGCGGCGCCCAGCCCTGCCGTGACTTTCTGGCCTGCCAGCGAAGCGCCCCGCGGAGCCAGCAAGCGCTGCGAGGCGCACCCGGGGGGGACTCCAACGAGCAAACAAAAGAAGCTGCCGCCGCTGCGACGGGCCGGCGCCCCCTGCAGGGGAGGCAGGCGCGCCTGTAGCGCGCGCTGGCCCTCCAAGACATGAGAAATGGGAAGAGGCCGCAGCAGGCGCACGGTGAGCCGGCGCACGCGCGGAGAGGAGAAGAGGCAGGGGATCGGGTCGGCTCGGCAGGAGGACGCGTCGAACTCCGCAGCGCCGTCCGGGCCCCCCCCCATCTGGTCTGGGGGGAGCCGCAGGAGTGGAGCCTCGAGCTCAGAAGCAGCGCAGCAGCATCTATATATGTGTATATAGTTATATATATATATATATATATATATAGATATGTGTATATATATATATATATCCCGCCTGGCCCAGCGGACAAAAACCACCGGGGCCCCGACCTTCCACCCTGGCAGAGGCAGGGGAGGCAAGAGAAAGGACCACGCATCAAGAGGGCGGAAGCAGGACGGTCCGACTCGTCGCCGCGGGGGGGGGGGGCCTCGAGCCCCGCGCAGGGGGGTGGCCGCCCGCAGGACGCCAGCAGCGCTGCAGCGGCGGAACCCTTGGGCGCCGAGGGGCCGCGGAAGGGGCGAAGGGCAGCGGTGCGCGGACCAGGACGAAACGGGGTGGCACGTGCACAGAGGGCCGCGGGGGGTCCCCGAAGTCGGGAGCGGCCAAGAGGGGCGGACCGTAGACAGCAGGTTCAACCCTCTCCCCTACGGCCCTACTGCCTCCTCGGGCGGGGGCGGGGCGGTGGGCGCTCCTGGCCTGTCGCCCAAGAAGTCGGCGACGGCGGGCACGGGCGCCGCGGCCGGGAGCGACCAAGAGGGTGGTGTCCAGGAGGGGGGGGTGCAAATCATGACTGGCGGCCTGTGCGCGGCCCCCCAGTCATCACCCCCCTAGTCGTCACCCCCGCCACGACATCCCCCCCCCCCCCCCCCCTGGTCATCGCCCCCCTCTTTGCCGCCCCCGATGAAGTCCCCGGGGCGCGTCACGCTTCCGCCAAGCGTGGCTGCAGCACGGGTCGCGCTCGCCGCGGGGCTCGTCGTGACCACTGCCGCGGCCTCTGTCTGCTCGCGGGCAACCGAGGCCGTGCGCCTCCGGGCGCCCATGCCAAAACTCGGCAGGCGGCAATGCGGAATCTGGAGCGTGAGATTAGGAGAGAACGCTAGGAGGAGGAAATCAACGCGGAGTACTTGTTGTAGCGGGCACGGCCATTCAAAAATCGGATGGCGAGAGTGCGCCTCGAAGTCATGATGCAGCCGTCGGTCTCAGTCACTGTGCACTCTCGCCTGTCCAGAAAGCGGTGCACCAGCCATGACCTAAGCGTAGACTTACGCACGGATATAGTCCGCTAGGGCGTGGGAGAAGGTCTGGAGAGAGCCGTGGGCGAGAGCGTAAATGCGGTAGTCGCTGATGTAATCGAAGAGGTTGCAATACTTCTGAGATGTAGCTGGATCGCCTGGATTTGCTGGAACCAATGAAGTCCGTGAGCTGTGGAGGAGCTGGCACTGCACGTGCTGTCGCATCGGCGGCACTCCCCGTACACGAACTACAAACGTATCATTCCAAATCGTTTGGTCCAACGTTGCAGCTTGATCCATATGCCCAAGACCATCCTCTCCCAAACCAGCAGTGTAGACACTTCTTTGGATTACTCGTCGCCATCCTCCCTCATCCCTCGTTTCTAATTTGTGTTGAGAACCATGCTGCGTCACCGACCATCTAACCAGACACATCCCCGTACAAATAGTGAACAAGAAATACACCGAGAACTACATGGCGGTGCATCGATGGATGGAGAAAAGGTTGGACAACGGAAACCTGGTAACCTGGTCACTGTGAAGCCGGCGGTGGCTGACCGTGACAGAGACGAAGATGGGAAAAAAACAACGGGTCGAGAAACCCTTCGGTGGGTGGAAGCATCTTCTGCGGCAACTCATGGGAGCATACCTTACCATCCTGCTGGCTCTTGCGAATAGGCGCTAATCGACGCTAAGACGATACTCGACGCTAATCAACGTTACTATATGCTAAATCGGCGCTTCCTCATCGATTACCAGACGCTAGCGCACGCTACCGCACTCTAAGGACGGAATTGCGAGGACATACAAGGCTTGTATGAGTTGCTACCGAAAGCATCGGATCAGAGAGCTTGACGAGATCGTATACATTGCTATCCGAATGATCGGCTGGACGTCTCTCAAAGACAGGCGCGAGGTGGGTACGTTTGGACGGTCGTCGTGATTTTAGACGTCGTCTTGGAGGTGCGTGTGCAACGAACACGGCGTGGGGTCGCCACACATAGAGGAACAAAAAACGGCATAAGCATAAACTGTTGGAACTCCGTGCGGAATTCCTGGATCGAAGTTGAAACTTTTTCACTGGCGCGCGGAGCGCGCCCAAGGCAGCGCCAGAGGCGCCGCAAGGGGGGGACCAGCACCGATCCAAGAAATCAGCGCGGAGCTCCGAAAGTTTATGTTTGGCCGTTTTTCCTGCTTCGACAATACGCGTTCGTTTGAAGATGTGGCAAAACTGACCATAGACGTAGACATGTAGCAAAAGTGGAGGATACAAGCGCATAGAAGCAGAAATGCATTGGCCGGTTGGATCTCCGGTTGCGCAGACGCAGTAATCTGTGTAGACTCCAGCATAGCAGCTCCGCCAAGAGTCGCTTCGCCGGATCACACCTTGCTTTGATCTCCGCTCTCGGCAGGAGGGCGTGCAGGTCAAAGGCAACCTGTCGCCATCAACTCCGACTACTCCTACTATGGGCCAGTGGGTGGAGATGCTGTTGAAAGAATAAGTTTTGCAAAAATCGTTGAGGAATCAGTTCGCATGACCCCCCTCCGTCCCCAGGCCTGGATGTTGCACAAGCGTTCCTGGAGAAACGGGGCCGCCACAATCTTGAACCCAGCATCTCGAACACAACACTTGCCAATGTTAATGCCAGGGGTGAGGGGAGAATATGGTTCTTTCTAATTCGGGCGTTGATGCTGCAAAGATGTTCCTTCAACCGTGAGATGGGCATGAGTGCCGCTGTGTGTATGTGCCGGCCTGCTCTGTCCTCTTGGCAGGGCAGGGTGGCGCGAAAGGAAACAGCCGCCGATCTCGTGGCCTTTTCCGTGTGGCCGCTCAGGTTTGGCGGAGCTGCCTGCAATGCCTCGCTGGCTGGCAGGCGCGAGTCTCTGGAACTGGTGAGTGGTTATCATTATCAAGGATCCCTGCGCTGCAGTCTTCGGGGCTCGTTCAAAAATGACGCGTTTCGCCACCAGGAAACGGCTGCGACCACAAACCGAGAAGTGTGAAGCGATGCTTGGCACAATCACACAGATGCGACGGCTCAGAGGCGCGAGTCTCAGGGACCATTGCAGATGATGCAGTCCGGTGTCGCGAAAGCGCCGCTGGAGCCAGTGTCGTCACTGGTGACTTCTGGTCGTAATTTGCATCCGTCGGCGAAAGACGGGTCATCATGTCGTCGTGACATTGGTCATCGCAGTGGGGACAAGGGTGCAAGAATGGCCATGAAGGAGCTCCCATTGAAGGTCGAGCTTGGTGGTGTGGGCAAGCCCTCTCAACGCTGTGAGCATGACCCTTGCATCGTTAACGTGCGCCCGCCGCATCCATGAAGCATTCTGTAAGGTTGGCAGGGTGCGGTGGGAAGAACTGCGGGAGTCGTCAAGGGCGTGAGCGATGTCGAAACGTCGATTTGACCGCCATCATGAGACCACTGTCGTCGCGCGTATACCGTCGGCGAAGTCGAACGCTCTGGACGGGCAAGGAGGCGATGAGCAAGAAATAAGGCGATGATGGAGTCGATGCTGTCGGAATCGCTGGTGTCAAAAGTGTCGCCAGCGTCGTGGTAGCAGGTACTGAGGTACACAATCACCATGCCAGCGAGCCTGACAGCAGCTATCTGGACGACGTTGATGGAGACAGGGGGATGCATCCGGTATTGGGTGCTGTCAGAAAAGAAACCTGAATAGACGTTGTGCCAAGCATCGGATTGATAGGCGGAGTGGGCGCACTGGTAACGCCTTGGGGAATGTTCACTTACCAAATTGCTGTCGCGTGGGTGGTGTCAGCCGTATACGTAACGTTGAGATTTAGGGCACACAATTGTGCCACATATACATTCGGCCTGTAGTAGGTGTGGGGGAGCACAAAAGAAACGATATTGCCGCAGTAGCATGTGGCAAATGCCATTCTTGGTAGCCAATGGCACCTGGTGAGTTTCCGTACCACGTCCGTCGTTGTTGCCGTTGTTGTCGCCCGTGGCAGTCTAGTCGGAATATAAGTGGCGGGGCCACTCAATAGCAGATGAGCGGATGTTCTGTGTGCCTGGCATGCTGTGGTCCGCATGTGACGTCCATGATGGTGCCGTAGATGGCGACGCGCTGGCATGAGTGACAAAGAGCTGATGAGTGACAGTCAGTGTAATTTCGCCGGCCCAAGGGGCCAGGGGCGTGCTAAGATCGCCGGCTACACGTTTACAATTTCTAGTTCGCGCGCGCGTGGCCGAAACCTGGGAGACTCCCGGCAAGGGCCCCGCAAGGTTCTCCTGAAAGCCCAGGACGCCCCCCAGACGGTCCAAGAGGCCCCGAGTCGCCCAAAGATCGCTCCAAGACGCCCAAGATGGCCTCCAGACAGCGCTAGAGGCCGCCAAGAAGCCCCGAGAGAGCCTCAAGAGGCTCTCCAAGAGGGCCCCAAGAAGCACAATCGCTCCATTCTTGGAAAACGTACATTTTTCGCATGACCGATTTTGAGGTTCCACCCTGTTCAAAACTGCCCTGGAGGCCCTCAAATCGACCCAGTACGGCCCACCAAGCCCCCTTTAAGATGAGCCCAAGACGGCCCCGGAGCGCTGAAAGACAGCCCTAAAGGCCCCTCAAGACGGCTCCAGAGGCTCCCAGAAGACCCCAAGAGCGGTACTCCGAGCTGCCATGCCCAGCCCTTTCTCGCGAGATCCCTCACGAGACCGCCAGCAGGGCCCCAAAAAGCTCCCAGAAGGCCCAAAATACTAGCCTCCTAAGAAGACCTCAAGAGGCTCCCAAGAGGCCTCCCAAGAAACCCAGAGAGCCGTCTTGTCGACGACCCAGTTTCGTCTGAAGAGTTCCCAAAGAAATCATTGACAGGCCTCCTCTTTCTCCTCATCGACCGCTTATGCGACAATATGGGCCGGCGGAATGAGCGAAGTGATTAATAACGCTTCGTCCATGGGGAATGATCTGGCGTCACTGGAATGGCCGTTGTCGCTGGTGTCGCTGTTCGTCTGGGTAGCTGCAACGGGGCCGCCAGAAACAATGGTGCCAACAAGATCTCGAGCAAGATCATTGACGTCATCGTGTGGGCATACCGCAAACCTAAACACGAGGTGGCCACGCAGATGGCAGTGATATGTCTGCTGACAGAGCCCTCCAAGCTATGAGCCTTTGCGATCGGATACGCAGTGAAGTAAGTCGTGGAGTAACGTCAGGAGCAGCAAGAGGTACCTCGTCATTGGAGGCGTCGTTGGCAGCGTCGTCGGAAGCGCAAGCTTGTGGATGAGGCGTGGATGCCATTCCTAGTAGTGGTGTCTTGTGACTGTCCGTGTCATATTCGTCGTCGCCATGATGATCGTCCATGGCAGAATGGTGTGAATATTAGCGGGGCCACTCAGGAGTAGATAAGTGGGCGGTCATTGCGTTGGCCATGCTGTGGTCCGCATGTGATGGTGCCATTGATGGCGATGCGCTGGCATCGGTGATAAAATGCTGGTGATTGGCCATCGGCGTAGGCATCGCTTCGTTGGCGTCAGGTGACTTGGTGTCGCTGGTGTGGCAGTTGTCGTGGGTGACTGGCGTAATCGCGTGGGCCTACATCGGCACAGTGGAGGGTGGAGGAAAAGGGTGGTTTGAGTAACAGCAAGCGAGAAGCGAGGAGCAAGGAGGAACGAGGGAGGTTCGAGGAGGGAGGTGGTAAGAGGAAAGAGGGCGGAGGGAGGACAATACAGGAACCCCTGAAGCCCCAAGACCCTCTGGAGCCTCCCTGAAACCCCTGAAACCTTCAACAGAAACTCGTCAAACTCATCCTCCTCCCCACGTCCCTCCCCCTCCCCCCCTCCCGCCCCCCCCCCCTTTCCTCCTTCCTCCCTCCCTCCTCCCCCCTCCCTCCCGGTCGCCGCGGCCCCCGGGGCTCCCTCCAGGAGGGACCGGCACCCCGCATGGGGACCCCAAGGGCAGCCGGAAGGGCATTGTCCACTCGCAGGGCCCTTGCCCTGGCCGTTGCCCTCCCTCCCTCCCTCCCTCCCTCTTCACCCTTCTCTCGGAGGAGGGCGGCGGGAGGAAGAGAGGCGCCTGCCCAGGCGCTGCCACGCTCCGCGGGCACCCTGAGCCAGAGTGGCTGCAGCGTAGCACTGGAACCCCAGAGGATGCCCCGCAGGACGGCGCGGGTTCACGTCGCGACGACGTCGGCCTCTGCTCTCTGACACCGCCTGGACCGTTCGACCTTGAACGGTCGCTGCTGTCCGATGGCGCAGATCTCTGATCGGCCGGTCCCAGGCCACTGGCGGCGTTCAGTCTTGAACGCCCACGCCAGGGTTGCCGCCGCGTCAACGTGGCGCGAAGCTGCCGTCTCATATCTCCGTCGGCGGCTACGCCAGGCGTCCCGAACGAGACGGGGGGCCCGCGGGCCGCGGGGGACACCTCGGGGGCAGGCGCGCGCCAACTTCCGATCTGGTGGCTCCTCCGCCTCCGGCTCCGCCTCCTCCTCCTCCTCCTCCTCCTCCTCCTCCTCCTCCTCCTCCTCCTCCTCCTCCTCCTCCTCCCCCTCCTCCTCCTCCTCCTCCTCCTCCTCCTCCTGGCCCTCTCGCGACAGGCTCGTGGGGGGCACGTGCCTGCCTCCGGCTCGGTGGCCTCCGGCCTGCGGCACCGTGTGCCCCCGCGTCGCCGCCCTTTCGTGGCGGTTTCGTGCCGGGCGCACGCCGCCTGCCGATGCTGTGGCTCGCGGCCGGTGGTCTGTGCCAGCACCCAGATGGCGATCGTGACAGCATCGACAAGTGTACACCCTGCGAAATGCTTAAGAAATCATGGGTTAAGAAACTCATAGTCTCAGAACTTGAACAAAAAGCCAGAATGTCTATTCAAATCTTGGGATTTACATTGAAACATTAAGAATAATCGAGACTCTGGCCGAAAACGTAAGTTTTCTTAAGCATCGCCTAGGGTGTACAGTCAACCCGTACAAGAAGGCTGCGCGACGATAAGGATGCGAGGCCCTCGGAAGCCCACTTCGAAGTTTCCGAGCGGGGCGCGGCCCACGAACATGGCCGAGGATGCACCGGGGATGCAAGGATGCAAGGGTACCCTTGGGAAGGTTGCCCGTCCTTACTATGCGGGTTGACTTTAAGTGTGACCGCAGCCGTGATTGCGACTGCGATTACTGTCGCATCCTTCGGAGCGTGATGAAGTTTAATCGGCTACTTCTGGTCCCTCTGCTGGGTGCGCAACAGCACTGCCCTTTCTCGCCCCCCTCTACTACCTGGCACAAGCCAGGGGTGGGGGCATCGCAGACGCAACGGTGCTTGCTCATCTAAGTTTACGAACCTGCTGGACGACAAGCACAAGGACAGCAACGACGCCGAGACGGTATGGTCCTTGGTCACGCTCCCTTGTTGAAGCGCCGCTTCGCCACAACTCGTGTGCAACAGCCACTTCTCGTCCTCGTCACCACCTTGGCGGATCCTGCCTTCTCCTCCTCCTTCCACCACATTTCCTCATTGGCTCGCTGCACCAGTACAACAATCGCGCTCGACCAGACAGTAGCAGAACATCAGATGACAAATCATCACAAAATGCAAACCCCTGCGCTGATCGCAACAATGCCCACAGACTGGTTGGTCTCTGTAGTCGCTCAACCGTTCGCGAGCATGCACCAAGAAAACGGCAGCATGGGGCCAGTTTGAACGAGTCCAACGGTGAAGCTCGAATTCGCCTCAGCGTATGCTGCACCAGGCCCACCGCACATGCGTGAAGAGCGCGCAGGCTTTTGCTCCGGCCAACGTGCTAAGATGCCCCAAGTACAACCACGAGCACCAGCAGATGAATACTGGTGGGGCCAACGGTCGCCTGAGCGAGACCCCCCCCCTCCCCCCCCCCCTCCTCCTCCTCCTCCTCCTCCTCCTCCTCCTCCTGCTCCTCCTCCTCCTCCTCCTCCTCCTCCTCCGGGCCCTCGCTCGCCGAATTCGACGTGACGGCAGCAGGATCCAGCGGCACTTCCGGGCCAATGCACCACTTGGCAGCGCAGACCACGTGCACGTGGCGGGCGACTGCAGCTGGATCGCACGTGTGGACGGACCCGGGTGTGGTGATGCCGAAGACGACACTCATTGTTTGAGTAGCTGACGTGCGGGGGTAAAGGGTGGTATCGAGAGAGGGCCCTGGGGATGAACCCGATGAATCCAGTGAAGCATACTGGACTTCGCGTCGATCGAAGCGTGCACAAACGCACAAGGAGGGAGGAGCAGAAAGAGGAGGACGAGGAAGAGAGTACAACCAGGAGCGGAGGTGCGCTGCGAAGAAGTCCAAGCAGTCACTTCACCTGGATGTGCAAAGAATACAGGCCTCAGAACAAATTAGCGGACACATGCCACATTCATCCGTCAACGCCTCCCCCTCCCCCCAATGTTCAAAGTTGGCGGTGGGTCTGATGAGATGCACTTCGACCGCAGTCTCCCCCACGCGTGCCAACATTGAGTTTGGGGGGGAGGGGGAGTGTTCAGTAATTGTTTCCCTCTACCGTATCAAGCCTGCACAAGCCTGCAAGATACGACCCAGACCAGCCTTGACGAAACATGGTATGGTGGCCCAGGGACCGCGCGCTGAAGCCACGCAGCAAGCAAGACACAAAAAAAAAGATCCCCTCGGGGGCCGCACTGTTTGGGGTGCCAGCTATGATTGTAACATGCGTGTTGGAATCGGCTTGTGCTTCAAACTATGGTGACATCGACGGGGGGCAATCTATGGGACGCAGCATATGCTGTGCAACGTCAGGGGAGTTCATACATGGGGCGCAGCCTATGGGCGCAACCCTTTTGGCAACCGCAAATTTCCAGGCCAGCATGAGCAACCCGTGGGCGAAACCAGACGCACAGTAGGTGGAAGCAACCCATGGCCACCTCGAAATCTTGAGCCAACATGCGCAAACCAAGACTAACACCACGGGGCAACAGATGGTCACCGCAAATTTCATGGCTAGCATGCGCAACGCATAGCCTCAACTTATAGCGCGGCCCTTGGGCGCAACCTACAGCAACCACTGATTCCCGGCCAGTATGCGCAACCTGTGGTAGACACCATGGGCGGAACCTGGTCACCAAAACTTCCCGGTGCCGCATACCCAGCTGTTTCAAGCTTTGACGAACAAGTCAGAAATCAAAAATTTGAGCCCTGATCGGCAAGAGAGGAACAGGAGAAACTGCAGAGCACCAACAAGGTAAATGGCAAAATCGCAAATTGATCAAGAAGAGAACCAACGCCAAGATCCGAAGAGAGCCAAAATAAGAAACTTGCAGGTTCGCACACAACCGGAATTTAAAGAGGGAGGAAGAGGGGCGAGCTCGGGCGCAGGGTAAAATACCACGTGGCGCGGAATACACGTTTTCGATTCAGCTTGCCTGTATCGATTCTTCAAAGACCGGCTGGTCGTCCGCGACTGCGGTCAAATCCTGGGGCGGAATGGGATGCGGGGTAAAGGCTCCTGTTTCTATGTCTGCGGCTACCGTGCACATCGATGGCACATGCGCCCATGGTTCCTGTGCTCGCTTATGGCGTCTGCGCGCATAGCGGGTTGGTCTTGAATAGCGCAGCATAGAGCAGCGAAGTACGACTACGCTCAGCATACCGTCGCATAGCGTAGCTTTACTTGGCCTGGTTTAGCCTTCGCCTGGCCTGTAGCGTAGCTGACCATTGCTCTGCTTTCGATGTGACTCGGGTTGGCTTAGTTCAGCATAGCTTCGCTCGGACTTCTTTGACACAATTCAGCCGGTGTACCTCAACATGTCAGACAGCCGTGCTCTATCAGACAGGGCGCCCTCGGACATATGCATGCTGCAGGGGTGCGATCGGATTGTGGGCAATTCGCTAAGCCCTGAGCCTCAATGGAAAACGGCACAGGCCATGGCACCCACACACACACACACACACACAGACACAGACACACACACACACACACACACACACACACACACTAGTTAGGAGTCGCAACCCAGCGCGCATCGACAGGGCGTAGAACATATGCACATATATATATACAAGATTTTACCAGCTCGCTTCGCTTCGCCTTTAAAATCTTGGTCGCATGGCGTCAGCGAGGTTCGCCTCTACCCGTGGTCGCACGCACCGCGGTCTGATTTGGCAATGAGGCTCACGGGGCCCATAGGGCTGATACGATTCATTGGGTTCTTTGGGTCAGTGTGCTGAAAGGCTCTTTGCCGTGACTGGATCTTAGAAGTTCGGGGGCGGAATGTGGAGATGGGAAACGTCGGGCATCGCGGCACCTGGGGGCCATGGGGTTTCCAGTGTCCGCAGCCGAGCTTGAATTCAGAAGGGGCTCTCGGGCTGATGAGCTCATTGGGCGCGGAGGCGCGGAGCGCCCAAGGCATCGCCGAAGCCAATGGTCTTTGGCCACGTGGACCGCGTCGGCTCATGGGGCTTCCTCGGATCATGGGGCCCATGGCGGTCATTTTGCCCACTGGGCCCGGAAGGGTGATCAGGTTCAGGACGGGTCGTCCGGGTCGTAGGGCTCATAGGGTCGACGGGGCCCATGGGGCTCATAGGGCTCGTCATGCTCTGTGGGCTAGCGTGGGCCGTGGGGTGCATGAGTCTGAAAGGGCTCTCAGCGCGCTTCACCCGCGTGAACGCCCTGAGCGGCATGGGGCCCATGGGGTGCACAGGGCCCGCAGGGGTCATAGGGCTTATAGAGCTCATGAGGCTCATAGGGCTCGTAGGGCTCATGGGGCTCATAGGCCTCATAGGGCTCATAGGGTACATGGGGCTGATAAGGCTCATTGGGCGCATAGGGTTCATAGGGCTCATAGGGCTCATCGGTCTCAGAGGGATCTTGGGTCCCCCAGGGCGTATGGGGCGCATATGGTTCGTAGGGCCCATAGGGCTCATACCTCATAGGGCTCATGGGGCTCATAGGTCTCGGCTGTCTTGGGCTGTCTTGGGGCTGTCTTGGGCGTGTCTTCGGCTGTCTTGGGGCTGTCTTGGGGCCGTCTTGGGCTCATAGGGCGCATAGGGCTCATAGGGCTCGTAGGGCTCAAAGGGCTCGTAGAGCTCACTCGGCTCATAGGTCTCGTAGGGCTCACAGGGCTCATGGGGCTCATAGGGCTCGTACGGCTCAT